CCCTGGGTGGGTTTCTCCTCTCCTTGCCCAACAAACATATAAGCATACATAATATAAATCATTTTGTATGGATACAGTAAGAAATACTGTAAGCTTATAGAATTGCTCTCCTAGGGCCATTTCGATCTCAGACTACAGTGCTCAGGCCAGATAGTCTTTCCTATCCCTAGCAGGATCCTAGTCTCGTCGTTACTTTTGGATCATGACAGCATTTGTCTATGATCAAACTCTCAACTTAGAGTTAAGAATCGTGGCACTTTGGCCTGGCCCATCTTGATGCCAGGGTAGCACATAGCTTACCTGCTTGCCCTGGTTCCATCTGATCTCGGTGGGCCCCACAGGTGACTTATGTGAAGCGGGGAGGAGAAAGACAGTCACTTTCTCCCCACCCGCCTCTGCCACTCGGGACCCAGGGTTGCTGGGTTCTTGTCTCGCTCGCAGAAAGGAATTTCAGGAGTAGACAAGCAGTGAAGCAAATAGATTTTATTTGGAGGATTTTTAGGTATGGAGGGAGGGAGAGGGAGTGAGAGAGTAAAGTTAGACACGAAAGCATGAAAATACACATCTCAAGAGGGGAGATGCGGGCGACACATGTGCTCGGGCACCACATGTACTCAGCCACGTGGACGTAAGCACACATGGGCTCAGGCAGCATATGCGTGCCCTTCCTTTGTTCCAGGTGGCCTTTATAGGGTTTCTCCAGCCTGTCCCCACGTGAGGCCTCTTTCCAGGTAAAAGTTTGTTGCTAAGGAGGTTACCAGGGAGATCCAAAAAGAGGAATTTCATGGGGAGGCCTATATCCTGAGGATGGTCTTATCAGGCCATTTTCTGTATCCACAAGTTGGGTCATTCCTAGAATTCTTCTTCCATTGCAAAGGGCCCTTCCCTATCTACCTGCCTACATCACATCCAGCCCCTGGTCGGGACCCTGCTTTTGGGGGTGCTAGGAAGTGAGGGTAACTGAGTCTTAAGTTGAAAAAGCAGATGCCCAGGAGTGAATCGATGAATAATATTCAAAGCCAATTAAATCCTAAATTACAAAGCATTATATTAACTGTCTTCCTGTATCTATACAAAAAGGAGATTGCATTAAAGTAAACTATTCAAAAGACATAAGGAGAGGAGAAAGGCAATGTTAACTAACTTACCGTACAAGTTCAGTGTCCTAGAAGGATCTGATTATTCACAGATTCTGATTAGGGGAGAAGCTGATTAACCGGTTGGGATGGAGAGCATAGCAGTGGTTACAGATAAACAAAGGAATGGAAGTGACTGTGATGGGTGTAACCTGATAAACCTAAGCTCCTTGTCGCAAGGGAGAAAGGACATATCAATTGTTATGCTACAGGATGGGGGGGTGGGGGGATCAAATGGCTCTCCGCCCTCCCCTCCCCTCCCCCTTCCCTCCCTCCCTCCTTTCAGCACAGTGTCAGAGTCTGCAAATTCTTTTTCCTCCCTGGGACTCTAGGCAGGTTCCTGATCCCAAGGAACAATAAAGGGCATTTGCCTTGAAGTTGCCAACTTTGGTTCCACCCCCTAGGGCCACACTTGCCCCCAACCCCCAACATACACAGCCTCCCAGGAATGCAGGAGTGAAACGTGAGCACAGAGGCAGGAGTGAGCCCTGAGCACAGAGCCGGGAGTGACCCTGAGCACTGAGCCAGGAGTGCCCCTAAGCACTGAGCCAGGAGTGATCCTGAGCACTGAGCCTGGCATGACCCTGAGCACTGAGCCTGGCGTGACCCTGAGCACTGAGCCAGGAGTGACCCTGAGCACTTCTGGATGCAGCCCAAAAAAACAAAAAAAAAACCCACAAAGTCATTTCCATCTGGGCCAGCTCCTGGCCCTCTTCCCAGGGCTGTGCTGTGGCCAGCTGGGTGTGGACCGGGCCCTCCCGGCTGTGTGGACAGAACCCACAGCCAACTTTCGAGTTCCTGGAATCAGTTCTGTTCTGGTAAAAGAAGAAACCGTTCCTGGCGCCTGAGCCTGTGTGGTCATACGACCCACTTGATCTGGCCTAGTAAAGTCTCAACAACAAATAAATGGACTTTTTAAAAATGCATGTAGAATATTTCTGACACAAAAAGCAAACGTGGGGAAGCCCTGCCTAAGGGGTCGACTTTCCTTGGAAAAACCCTCCCTTCTCTGAATACCCTGGAGAGCCTGGTGAAGTACCCAGAGCCCCGGGTTGGGGGGGAGGGGAAACTCTCCACCCCATCCCCCACCCCCACCCCAGCGCTAAATCTGCTGTAAGAACTCTTAACTTCTCTGCATGGCTCCTCCTTGAAATTGTTTTCTTTCCCTTTTTCTTCTTCTTATATTTATTTATTGAATCACTGTGGGAAAAGTTACAAAGCTTTCAGGTTTAAGTCTCGGTCATGCAATGATCAAACACCTCTCCCTTCACCAGTACTCATTTTTCACCACCAAGAACCCCAATATACCCACCCTCCCACCCCTCCCAATGCCTGTGAGGCAGATGAATTCTACTTAATTCTCGTATCTACTTTGATTACATTCATTATTTTGACAAAAGATGCACCATTATTGTTTGGAGTTTCCACCCAACAATCAGAACTGCTGAAAAGGCGTTGTGAAATAATTTGTTTTCCATAGCTGGCTTTCTGATATTTTACTTATTAAGTCTGGAGGGATTTCTGCCAAGAGCCAGTTAATTACGAGATTGGTTTCTGTGGCTCTGGAGCCATGGCCATGCCAGAGAGCCGCCGGTGGGGGGCAACTCGTGACCTTGGTAGGGCATGAAGCACGAGTTAAAATTATTTTCTGCCCCGGAGACAAGGACCTGGACCCCAAGTAGAGGTTGGGAACGACCTTTCCTTTCCCTAAAATGAGCATAGCCTCAGCCCAGCCTGAGGACCACTGTCGCACTGTGGTCACTGTCCTCCTGTTGTTCACCGATTTGCTCGAGCGGGCACCAGTAACGTCTCCATTGTGACACTTGTTGTCTCTGTGTTTGTCATATTGTATACGTCACCGGTAGCTTGCCAGATTTTGCCATGCGGGCGAGATACTCTCGGTAGCTTGCCGGGCTCTCCAAGAGGGTTGGAAGAATCGAACCCAGGTTAGCTGCGTGCAAGGCAAATACCCTACCCGCTGTGCTATCGCTCCAGCCCCCCCACCCCACCCCAGGGCCACATATCTGAGAAATCTAGGTGGCCGGGGATTCGTCCCCAAGTCATGAGGATCTAGTGGACGGCAGCCGGGTGGTCGCCTTACTGACACTGGCAGGACAGACCCTCTGCCCACTCTGCTATGCCTCACCTCCCTGGGCGCCCGTCCCCAGCTCCCGCTGCCCTGAACAAGGTGCTACCGCTCTGAACTGAGCTGGTAGGGGGAAAAAACCATGTCTATGCATATATGTGTACACAAGACCCCACAGTGCTCCTGAACACGGGATTCGATAACTAGAGAGCTGGCTCATGACCCCTGCTCAGCCTCCGTGATGCCTCTGAAGCAGGTAGGAGCTAGTCCGTCATCAAGTTCACTCTCGGGGTGAGTGGTGAGTCAACTCACACCCACACGGAGCCCCTGAATGGAGAGTCTTCGGGGTGGTGGGAAGGGGGCCTGCCTTGGGAGCCCCCCACACCTGGTCGGGGTGCAGCTGAGTTTTCCAGCTCTGAGTCACCGAGACAAAGAACCAGATGGAAAGTTGAGTGGGCGGTGTGAGCAGTGTGTAGAGACCTTCCTGGGGTCGGGGGAGGGGGGGATAGTCACTGGGGGCTCTCTGGGGAAGCAGCAGCCGAAACGGGGAGCAGAAGGGAGGGACTTGGGGCCAGACCATGTCCGGTTGCTGAGTTATTTCCCACGGGCTCAGCTGGCCTGACTCAGGGAGAGAAACTAGAAGTGGGTTGCCCGGTCTGGTGACCCTGAGAGTGACCACACCTGGGGAGGCCTGGCTAAAGGGAGGCCCCTGGACGTGCTCACCTTCAGCTCCGCCCCAGGTGAGTTGACTCTGGAACCCGGGAAATGCATGATAAAAGAGACAGAACCGGTAGGGCTGCTCAATGCTAGAGGGAACTGGCCCTACCCGTGGGTCCTCACCCACGGGCAAACCTGGCAAGACGAGTGCCCTACACAGTCTGAGTGAACAAGAGGCGAGGCAGATGCCAACATCCGGGCCCTCTGGCCACTGTGGCCGATGCCACCAGGCTCTCGGTAACAGCCTGTCTTTGCCCCCAAAGATGGATTCACTGAAATCATCACTTTTAAGCAATTTTTTTTTTTTGCTTTTTGGGTCACACCCGGCGATGCTCAGGGGTTACTCCTGGCTCATGCACTCAGGAATTGCTCCTGGCAGTGCTCAGGGAACCATATGGGGTGCTGGGAATCGAACCCGGGTCGGCCATGTTGGCTGTGTGCAAGGCAAACGCCCTGTCCGCTGTGCTATCGCTCCAGCCCCTGAAATCATGACTTTCAATAAATGCAAAACCTCCGATACCTTCAAAACCGCAGCTGAAGTACATTCCAACACGCATTAAAATATTTTTAGTATTTTAGGAGCTGGAGCGATAGCACAGCAGGGAGGGCGTTTGCCTTGCACGCAGCCGACCCGGGTTCGAATCCCAGCATCCCTGAGCACCGCCAGGAGTAATTCCTGATTGCAGAGCCAGGAGGAACCCCTGAGCATCGCCGGGTGTGACCCAAAAAGAAAAAAAAAATTCAAAGAAAAACATAAAACGTGTAAAAGCAACGCAAGCCAATACCTTACAGACAGGGGGGTCCTTGGCAAGCAGGGACTGAGCACGCTAGAAAGTTGACTCAAAGTTCCTAGGTCCGAGGGTGGTTTGCAGGGTGGGAAGAGAGCAGAGAGGGTCCTGTCAGGGTTAGCTGAGATGGTACTGGCACGCCTGAGCAATATTCAAACTCTCACCTGAGATGAGCTTCCACTTCTTCCCAGCTGGGCCGAGTGTTCAGAGTCCTTCTAGAAACGCTTGAATAATAAAGGCGACTTTTTTTTTTTTTTTATTGAATCACTGTGAGATACAGAGTTGTACGTGGCTGGGTTTCAGTGATGCAATTCAGTACTACAATGTTCCAACACCCGCCCTCACCACCGCACATTTTCCGCCACTGAAGTCCCTCTGCTTCGCTCCTGCCCACCTCCTCCGTCACCCGCGCCCCCACCCCCAGGCCACCTCCAACAAAGGTGTCTCCAGAGCGACACCCCTCCCCTCCTCACCATCGAACCGCACCCTTGTTCAAAGTCCAGACACAAGTAATCTGCGGCCGGCCGGGGATGGGGGAGTGTTAGAACTCGGCCAGAGTCAGTCCCGGGGCCAATCCACGCTCAGCCGTCCAACATTCTCCCCTCTTGAGAATGTCCCGTTTCCCAGGCGGCACAGACGCCGCCGAGTGAAGCCTGGACGCTCCTTCCTCCGGCGGCCCTGCCCTTGCGGCTGGGAAGTCAAAGTGCCTCTTCATCCCCGCAGGGATGCGTTTCCTCCTGCTCACCGGCCCTCTCCGCCTCTTTCCCTGTGTGTCCACAGCACACCCGAAGTCAGGTGTGAGCACTGGCAGGAACAGCTCTCTCTGGAAGACTCTCCTGCCAGGACCGGCGGGAGGCAGCCAGAGGGCCTGCTCTATCTTGAGCCTCCGTAGGCTGGAGCCTCGAGCACTGAGCACCGTGCCACGAGCATCACCCAGGATAGCCCAAAACAAAACCAAAAAATAAATAAATAAAGAGCGTTTGCCAACACACAAACATCTCCCTCCTCGGGGAGGGGTCCAGGGTCGGCCTGATTTCCTTTCCATCCCAACCCAGGGACCCGGTAAGGGAACCGCACGCTTGACACCCACGTTCCTGCATTTCCTCTTGGATGCTATGACCCTCATCAAGGCCCCACCAACATGCCTCAGAAGAGGCCGTGAGCCCCAGTGTCCTTGGGACTCAGCCACGGAGGACCCGATGGAAGGCACCGCTGACCCTCGCTGCCTGTACCCTCCTCTCCTCCGGAGCACTGGCCTCCGAGTCCCCTTTCCTGACACAGATGGGGTGACAGTTCAAGGGGATGGAGGGGGTCCCTGATCTGATTCCGGGCACTGTGTGGCCACCCCAACTCTACATGTCCTCCTCCGACGGCACCCAGGGATGGCCCTGCTGGCCCTCAGCACCCTAATTTTCCCTCTCAGCAAGCTACTCTTGGACTTCTGATGCCCCCTGAAATGCTGCTTCCAGACCTCGATTCCTCAATTCCTTTCAGCACTGTGGGTCTTGGCTTACCTCTTTCATATTCAACTGATACTGTGAAACTGAAAGATTCACATCCTGACATCCTGTTCGGTCACCCAGAAAGAATGCACGGCTTCTCTGTCCCTGCCCTTTTTTAGTCATGGATCAGGAGCTCGGGGCAAGACCAAATGTTGACAGCTGCGAAGCTGCCAAAGGCCCACGCTCGGAGGACCCCACACCCACTCTGGCACTCGGGTTCAGTCCTGAGTATCCGACAGGGACCTCATTTGCATATTGTATAAATTATGGGACAAGATCGGGGGTCGGGTCCCAGGCCCCTGGGAGCCAACCCCCGTTGGAGATGTGTGAGTGCTTGGCTGAGGGCTGGGGGCGGAGGAGGGGTGCTGAAGATGGTGAGGAGCTTGGCCACAGCTGGTGGCCTAAGCTCGGGGATTAGTCCTGGCTCTCAGCCGAGCCATCACTCCTGGCCTGGCTCAGGAAGCCCTGCATGGTGCCTGGAATCGAACCCGGGTCAGCCCCTTGCAAGGCAAGAGCCTTCCCAGCTGTGCTGTCTCTCTGGCCCCAGCAATTTTTGTTTGTTCGGGGGCCACATCTGGCTGTGCCCAGGGCTTCTCCTCGCTCGGCTCAGAGATCACTCCTGGCGGAGCTCTGGGATCACGCCAGCCGAGCCCGGATTGGCGGCATGCCGGAAAAGTGCTTTCCGGCGCTGCGCAATAATTATTTTATTTCACTGGCTTTTGGGATCACACCCGGCGATGCTCAGGGATTACTCCTGGCTCTGCACTCAGGAATCATTCCTGGTAATGCTCGGGGGACCATAAGGGATGTTGGAAATCGAACCCAGACCGGTTGTGTGCTAGGCAAAAATGCCCTCCCTACTGTACTATCACTCTGGCCCCACAACAATTAAAGCTGGTAAGGACGAAGATCCTGGCCCCGAGCTCCTGGCCCAGAGGATGGTGGACTGGAGGCACTGTGCGTCTAAAACCCCCAGCACATCCGCAGGCCGGAGGGCCCGCAAAGTCCTTCAGAAGGAGACTGAGAACCAGTCAAAGCTTCCAACAGGCTTAGACTAAAGCCTCAACACCTGGAAAGTGCTTCAGAGTCCGTGCTAACCATCGTGACCGAAACAGTCAAACTGGGCACAAGGTCCAAGAAGGCCCACGGTGTAGCCAGCAGGAAAGCCGTGTGGGAGGCGCGAGAGAGCAGCGCGTGTGGGGAAGCCCCCCGTGAGCCCGCCAGCCCCACTGCGTTTGCGACCGTCCGGACCTCTTGTCCCGTGATCGGAATAACAGCACGTGGGAACGGTCAGTAAGCGGGGAGCTGGGGTGGTTCCGGCCAGTGACCCAGAGGGAGGCGCGGCCACCACCCCTCTCTGGCATTGCAGGGGTGAGGTGAACCGGGAGGATGCGTGGGAGCGACGTGAGGGAGACTGCTGCCGGCACGCACCGCTATGGGGAGCAAAACCTGCCGCAGAAGAGGATGCTGTGGGTCTCCTGGTGCACGATGAAGAAGAGGAAGGGGTGGTCGGCGCAGAATTGGGGCAGCTCCACGCCACAGTCCTCCTCGATGTCCACGCCCGAGGCGGCGGCGGCCTCCGTGCCCTCCTCGTTCACTTCCAGCCACGTCTTATGCACGAACGCCGACAGGCACAGGTTCCCGGGGTCTGCCAGGGCCGAGAAGTCGGCCAGCCCGCCCTCGAAGGCATCCACCATGCCCAGGCGGGGCAGCACGGCCTCCAGGCTGTAATCCTCTGCCAGCCGGAACCTGGGCAGGACCACCTCGACCTCCGTGCTCTGCATGCAGCCCGGCCTGGTCCAGGCTTGCAAGTTCTCGAACGTGAGCTGATCTTCCACCTGGGAGGGCAGATTCTGCCGTGAGCGCCTGGGTGAGCACCCACAGTCCCTTCTCCCATGCCGGACGTCACGCGGGCCGGCGTCACGTTATCTGCAGGGACCTCTGCGAGAAGGTTCTGCCCCGCGCAGGACACTGTGGCCGGAGGGACATAGAGGACGGGGCTCCTCCCTCTGCCCTTCGTGTTGGGCATTTTGACCAGGAGACGGCACTTCCGGCCGAAAGATCAGTTTAATATAGATATATTTTTAAGTACAGTGGGTAAGGCACTTGCCTGGCTCGTGGCCAAGCCTAGGGGGATCCCCAGCACTGCCAGGAGTGAGCCCCGAGCACAGTCAGGAGCTGTCCCTGGTGCTCGGGAGTAACAGCGGTGTCTCCTCCCACGCTCTGGGTTTCTGCGTTCCCGTGTGCACCAGGGCTCACTAACGGTGACTGTGCCATGGTCGGGGGACATCGAGGTTTCTCTCACCCATGTGAGGTCCACGTCGTCGTCCGGAAGCAGAATGACCATGCTCAGCTCCTTCTGGACGTAGGGCAGCTCCAGGATCTGGGTCCGAATCTCCTCTACGTAGTTGAGCTTGAAAGTGGATTCCTGAAACATCATCTGGGCCGGCCTCTGCTCCTTCTGAGGGAGGAAGCAGCGAGCTGGGATTAGGGGGGTGGTGAAGAAGGTCAGGAGCACTTCCCCGGGAGCATGGGGATAGGGAAGGAGGGAGGGAAGGAAAGAAGGGGAAAGAAGGGAGGGAGGGATGGGGAAGGAGGGAGGAAAGAGAGAAGAGGGAGGAAGGGAGGGAGCGAAGGAGGGAGGGAGGGAGGGAGGGAAGGAGGAAAGAAGGAAGAAAGGAAGGAAGGGAGGGAAGGAGGGAGGGAGAGAAGGAAGGAAGGAAGGAAGGAAGGAAGGAAGGAAGGAAGGAAGGAAGGGAGGGAGGGAGGAAGGAAGGGAGGGAGGGAGGGAGGGAGGGAGAAAAGGAGAGAAGGAAGGAAAAAAGGAAGGAAGGAAGGAAGGAAGGAAGGAAGGAAGGAAGGAAGGAGAAAGGAAGGAAGGAAGGAAGGGAGGGAGGGAGGGAGGGAGGGAGGAAGGAAGGGAGGGAGAGAGGGAGGGAGGAAAGAAGGGAGGGAGGAAGGGAGGGAGGGAGGGAGGAAAGAAGGAAGGAAGAAAGGAAGGAAGGAAGGAAGGGAGGGAGGGAGGGAGGGAAGGAAGGAAGGAAGGAAGGAAGGAAGGAAGGAAGGAAGGAAGGGAGGGAGGGAGGGAGGGAGGGAAGGGAGGGAAGGAAGGAAGGAAGGAAGGAAGGAAGGAAGGAAGGGAGAGAGGGAGGGAGGGAGGGAAAGGTGGGAGGGAGGGAGGGAGGAAGGGAGAGAAGGAAGGAAGGAAGGAAGGAAGGAAGGGAGGAAGGGAGGGAGGGAAAGGAGGGAGGGAGGGAGGGAGGAAGGGAGGAAGGAAGGAAGGAAGGAAGGAAGGAAGGAAGGAAGGAAGGAAGGGAGGGAGGGAGGGAAGGGAGGGAGGGAGGGAGGGAAGGGAGGGAGGGAGGGAGGAGGGAAGGAAGGAAGGAAGGAAGGAAAGAAGGAAAGAAGGGAGGGAGGGAGGGAGGAAGGAAGGAAGGGAGGGAGGGAGGGAGGGAAGGAAGGAAGTTGATTAAAGGAATATGCTTCCATTTTCACATTTCTCCCTCTGCCCACCCACACACCCACCAGAATCGCAGATCACCTTGACACCGACCCTCTGCTTCCTACCTCAGCCATTTGGACTTAAAGGGAAAATCATAAGTTCCAGGACTGGACGGTAGCAGTTAACATTCGGGAAAATAACAGAGGTGATAAAATCCATTTTTCAAAAGCAAGAACTTTTTTTCCCTTCTCTTCTACCAAGTTCAAAGTTTCACTGTGACTCCCAGGGACGTAGCGGGAAAGTTTCCGGTGACTGTGACCTATCCCTTCCGCTTTGACACAGCTAAAGCTTCCCACGCAGTGGGGGCTCGCAGGAAAGCTTACCCACCTGGTTTATTCTGAAAGGCATTTCCGTCGTGTACGTCTTATCAAACGGATCTTCCCACCTTCCTTTGAAGTAGACGGCGTTGACGAGGACCAGCTTGGTCTGCTCACTAATGGAGTCACTGGTCAGCAGCTCTCGGATTTTGCCTTCCAAGAGAAGGAGAAGCGATAGTCACTCGGTTTTATAAAAGCATGACAGATAAAGGGCGATAAGGCATACTGCAAATGCAAGATTATCAGTGAGGAAAATTCTTCTTTTTTTTTTTTAAGTTTTCTGCATTTGAATTGACAAGTATAGAAACTGAGAGCGGCCTGAAGCTCCGAGATTAAAAGCAGTGCACGGAGGTGGCCTGGTGACGGCAGACCCTGGGAACACGAATCCCAGCCAGGCTAGAGCAGAAGGTGAGTAGGAAGTGACAGAAGGCGTCCTGCGGGCCTGGCCACCTTATGCACTCAAGCAGGGTGTTTGACCCGAGGTGATGGCGCTGACCAGTGACAGCGTTCCATCATCACATGTGTGTATCTCGGAGGCAGCCAGAATGAGCCACTCAGTGGAGAAATACCGGGTGTGGGAACGATGACACACGGAGAAAGTTCTAGAAACCTTTAAAAAAAATTAGTTCATCCTTCAAGGAAGATAACTTTGAATGGAGGGAGTGGACAGTGCAAGCTCTGCTCCGTCACCGTGATCCCAGCGCAGTGCTCTCTCTGAAGCCCAGCCCAGAATAAAGTGATTTCAGGCTGCAGACTTGTAGGCCCTTGGGAGGGTTTGCAGTCGGCCTGTCCAATTCAGAGTGACCAATCTAACCAAGGGCATGGACATGGGCATCATGAAGGATGCAGGAGAATACGTAAGCTGAATGCTTAAAGGTGGAGACCCCAGGGTCCAGAGATGGGTTCCGAGGTGACACTGACCACATCTGCTTGTCCAAAGATGGACATTCCCCAACTTGGGACTGTTAGGGATTCAGGGAGAGGAGAGTTCTGTGGCACCATTAAATGGAACATCTGGCCTTTAGACTTCTTTCGGCCATTGTTTAAGTCCCGCTGGTCCTAAGAGAAGGGACACAGTTAGGTTGCCATGGTCGAAGTCCTGCAGATCTGGTCAGTGTCCCTGCGAGCCTGTCAGCTGTCAGCTGTGCTTCAAGTCAGCCTGTGGCCTGACCATGTGACACAGACTCAGAAGAGCAGGAGGAGGAGGGGCGGGAGGAGGAAGGGGAGCTGGGGAGGGAGAGGAGCAGAAGGGGAGGGGAGAGGAAGGAGAGAAATGGGGTGGGGGGGGACCAGGGAAGGCGGGGAGGAGGGGCGGAGGGGAGGGAGGGCGGCAGGTCATTCTCACCTTCTGTCTTCTTGGACACCCAGTTGTTGATGTATGCCGTGGCCTGATCGGCGGCGCTGGCGAACGAGAGCTGCCCCAGGTCGGCCTGGTACAGCCGGCGACAGGCCTCCGTGAAGGCCTTCGGAGGGAAACAGAGGCAGTGAGGCTACTGTCCCACAGGCTGCCCCCAGAGCTGCAGCTCAGATGGGAAGGGACGTGCATCTCTCTTGAAAGCGATCATCTGCTAGTTGCTAGGTATCAAGATGTCAAGTTCACAAACAATATCAGTTCATGAGAAGCTAATACACAAACTAAGAAGACCGGGCAGTAGAACATCTGTTGGTGTGTGTGTGTGTGTGTGTGTGTGTGTGTGTGTGTGCGTGTGCGTGTGCGTGTGTGTGTGGCCCTGGGTTTGAATGCCAACAACCCCCCTCCCCCCCAAAAAAGAAAGAAAAGGCAAAATAACACAAAGAAAGGGGCAAATGAAAGAAAATGTAGATATGAGTGGCCGGGTTTCCTTTCATTCAAGCCGCAGTCACAGGATCACGAGCTCTGAGGACCAAGACCCCCATAAGTGTCAGGCCCCCTTGCGGACCCCGTGTGTGGACCAGCCTGTCTCGCTCTGTCAAGGTTCCACTCACCGAGCGGAAGTTACAGGATTTCTCTCCAAAGAGCCGGTTGGCCATCTTCAGCAAGTACTGGCCACCGGGCCTGCTGACTTTGGCGAGGAGGGACTGGAACCCGCGATGGATGTCCTTTTCCGCCCTCACAGAGAGCATCTGCGGGAAACCAAGCACCATCACCAATGGCCCTTCTTGCATTCGGGTTTAAAAATTGCTTGCGGGGGCTGGAGCAATAGCCCAGCGGGGAGGGTGTTTGCCTTGCATGCAGGCGACCCGGGTTCGATTCCCAGCATCCCATAGGGTCCCCTGAGCACTGCCAGGAGTGATTCCTGAGTGCAAAGCCAAAAGTAACCCCGAGCATCGCCGGGTGTGACCCAAAAAGAAAAAAAAAAGTTGATTAGGGATTGTTTTTCATACAACTATTTCTCAAATTCTTCCCACTTTTCTTTAGAAGTATATTGCTTTTCTTTTTTTTTTTTTCTTTTTGAGTCACACCAGGCAATGCTCAGGGGTTCCTCCTGGCTCATACACTCAGGAATCACTCCTGGTGGTGCTCGGGGGACCCTATGGGATGCTGGGAATCAAACCCAGGTCGGTCACATGCAGGGCAAACACGCTCCCCGCTGTGCTATCGCTCCAGCCCCAAACTTCCTTCTGAAAGGCGTGTGTGTGCGTGCAATGCGGCCGAAAGCCTTAGAAACTCGGGAAGACCCAAGTTTGTGAATGAAGTTTGCAATGTGAAGAAGTGAGTCCAGAAGGAAGACAGTGCTTCCTCCCTCTGCTGGCACAGACAGCATCTCCCCTAATGGAAGTGGCCTGGCATGTGAATTAGGGCATCCAGTGCCCATTACTGTCCATCAGGCACCACAGCTAAGACGCTCTCAACATCACACCCCTAAAAGAACTTACTCGGGGGCTCCCGGGAAAAGGAGGCTTTAAGGATTCACTGGCTAGCTAAGACCTAGAAAAACTGATGAAGGTGCAAACAGAACCCCTCCAAACCACACACACACACACACACACACACACACACACACACGCACACACACACACACGCAGTCACGCAGTCACGCAGTCATGCAGTCACACAGGCAGACATTAAACCTTTACCCCTTGAGTGGGACCTTGGACGCCCCTGCAAGGCAGGTGCCCGGGAAGGTTTCCCCCCCAGCACCGTCAAGGTCTCACCCTCTTAGGTGTCAAGAGGGTGTCCCAGAATCAGCTCTGCGGGTCCCCAGTCAGCAGAGCAGAAAGATCTGGGGGAGGTGTCGGGGCAGACACTTCACTACGAGGTCACTGTGACCGAGTTCGTCTCTTATGTGGCTACAGCAGCTCACGGAACTCAGCCAGGCTGACCGACGCGCGGGTTTATTCTCAAAGGGTCCAACTCGGGCACCCCAGGCAGAGGAGAGGCTGAGGGCCTGAGCCCTACTGGCCGGCTGTCCTGTCCCCGGCTCTGGGTGCCACCTGCCTGCAAGATCCTCTCTTCTTGGGGTCTCACGGGGCTTCATGGGCAAAACCGATGAGCTCAGGGGGGCCTCCAGGGACTAGTCCCTTCCCCTCCCTCCTTTGGAAGCTCCAGCCCCTTCTGGGATGGGATCCCCCCACCACTCAGGCCCCCTCTGGGGGTTCCCCCAGACGCTCCATTTACATGACAGTCAGCTTTCCCCCACCCCCCAGACATTTACATGACAGTCAACTTTTTCCCCCCCAGACACACAATTCACATGACAGTCTCAATGCCACCTTTAGGAAACTCCAGGGCTTTGGGGGCGTGGTGAGTCAGCCCAGCCGGAGGGGCAAGGTCAGGTGGGGGTGCATAGGATTAGCGCTGTGCCCTTCTGACTGGGTGGCAACCGCCCTCGCCCTCTGACTGGACCAGTCGTGGTGGGAAATGTTGGCGAGGGCCACCCTCTGAAAACAGAGGTGGTCGTTTGGTGGTGGAAAGGAACCGCAGGGTGGGGTCGGGGTGGGGGAGGGCATGTGTGCATGTGTGTACCACCACCCACTCTCTAAGCTCTTGGGGGCGGGGCGGGGCGGGGCAGCTCAGCAGCCCAACCTGTGCTGTCCACGTGTCGTCCACGTGCTGCCCACGTGCTGTCCACATTCTGTCCACGTGGGAGGCGGGCTTCGATGCCCATCTCTACCTGGGGCCTGCGCGGGCAGGACTGGCCTGAGCTCAGCGGCCTTGGCGCCAGAAGCCCTAGGGATTGGCTCTGAGTGCTCAAGCCCCCGCCTGCCCTCGGCCCGGCAAAGACCCTCCCTGCCCTCTGTCCTGCTGGGACCCCCCTCCCCTGGTCTGCCCTCGTTCCTGGCTTGCTCCCAGGCGGCCCCCCCGGCCCGACCTGGGTCCAGTGAGGAAACTCCCCAAGCCAGATGTCCCCAGAGGTCCCAGGGCTGCGGGGGAGTGGAGGGCAGCCCTACCTGGGCCATCTGGGCCTTGGTGCTCCCCTCGGCCCCCAGCAGGAGCATGGCCAGGGAGGCGGCCACGCTCACGGGGGAGATGCACACGTTGTCCCCGGGCCTGTCCTGGCACAGCGTCTTCAGCAGGTGCACGGCAAACGCCCCGGTGGGGTCGGGAAGCGCGTCCATGGCAGAGATCAGACCTGAGCGGGGGAGGAGGGGGCGTCAGGGCACCCTGCGGCGACAGCTGACAGCTGGAGGAGGCCACTGAGAGGCCACTGAGAGGCCACTGCTGGAGGTGCCTCTGGGTCCCCTTGGCGGAGACAAAGCATGTCCATGGACAGGTCCATGGACAGGGTGGATCCCTCTGGCCCCAGACACCTGGGGGACGTCCACTCTGCAGTCCCTGCAGCTGCCCCGAAGCCTCAAAGTCTTGTTTGCTCACATGGTGCAATCGCCACAAGTTGGTTCCCGCGAGGCAGGTCACTCACAGAGGCCGTGAGAAGCTGCCCCTGCCCACCCAGGCCCCTTCAGTCCCTGGCGCTGGCCCCCAGCCTTGAAAGCCGCTCCTCCCCTCACCCCTGCAGGCAGGATGGGCGCTCACTCGCCCCTCGGAGACCTTGATCTGCAACCAGACACTTGCTGGACACTCAGGCCAAAGTGCCCAAGAGCTGGACCACCCTACCTGGCCTGAAGTATGGAGATTTCAGACGGAAGAGGCCCCTCTCCGGCTCCCCCCCCCCCTCCCCTACCCCCTCCTCCTCTCCCCCCTCCTCTCTTTTCCTCTCCTCTCCTCCTCTTCTTTCTGCTTGCAAGCCCTCCCTGAGGCCCCGCTGGATCGGACCCCCACCTTCCTGGCCAGGAGGAGCACTCAGGAAAGAGCACCCCACACCGGTGCCTGGTGCCCGCAGTCCCGGGGCGATGAGCTTGGCATTGCCCATCGACAGGGGAAGCAGAGTGACCTAAGCGGGTGCCAGGGACAGACTCAGGCAACGCGAAGCGCGGAAGCCCCCAGAGAAGCCCACCCAGTCTGTCTGTACCAGCCTCCGCCCGGGACGCAGCTGGCAGTTGCCAAGGAAGCTCAGTCGCCGGGCAGGGAGCAGAGACGGTGCCTGCCTGCCGCGGGACTCTGCCCTGTGGGGCGGTCCTCCCGGTCCTGCCGGCGCTCTCCAGGTGGCTCCCCTCCCGCTTCCCCTCCCGGGCTAGGGCCCTGCTGTGCCCGAGGCGAGGCGTGCCCACCTGCAGCTGTCAGCTCCACCGCCCTCCTCTGCAGCTCTGCAGTCCCTGCGCACACACACTCTTTAAAGGCACCGGAGCAAGCGCAGCGCTTATAGCCTACAGCGCCTCTGCAGAGGCGGGGCGGCCCACTAGTGGTTGGACCGGGGAGCGGTACTTCCCCTCAAATCCCAGCATCCCATAGGGTCCCCTGAGCACCACCAGGAGGAATTCCTGAGTGAAGAGCCAGGAGGAACCCCTGTGCACCGCTGGGTGTGACCCAAAACCAAAAAAAAAAAATTGTATTTCTATTTATCTTATGCCTAGTTGATCCCCAGGTGATACTTTTTTTTTTTTTTTTTTTTTTGCTTCTCCCTTTTCTTCCATGCCACCTCCTCTTCATGTTTGGGAACAACCGTTGGCTGTTTGGAAGTGATGTCGGTGGGCCCCCACGGCTGGCTCACATGAAGCGGGGAGGAGAAAGAGTCACTTTCTCCCGATCTGTCTCTGTCACCTGGGACCCAGGGTTACCGCGTTCTTGTCTCACCTCGCAGACAGGAATCTCAAGAGTAGACGAGCAGTGAAATGGCACCATTTTTATTTGAAGGTTTTGAAGGAAAGGAGGGAGAGGAAGGGGGATCAAGTGGAGAGTAAGGTGCTCGAGAGAGAACCTCGGCTTCTCCAAGGGTGGAGAGAGCCCCTACACACAGCCCAGCATTAGACAGGAAAGCGTGAAAGTCCACATCTCAAGAGGGGAGAGGCGGGTGACACATGTGCTCAGACATCACACATGCTCTGTCACGTGGCAGCATATGGGCGTGCTTCCTTGGTTCAAGGTGGCCTTTACCCATATCCCTGATGAACACAGATGCAAAGATCCTCAACAAACTACTAGCAAATAGAATCCAACTACTCATCAAAAAGATCATACACCATGACCAAGTAGGATTCATCCCAGGGATGCAAGGATGGTTTAACGTTCAGAAATCAATCAACATAATCCATCATATCAACAAAAGAAAAGATAAAAAGCATATGATCATATCAATAGATGCAGAGAAAGCATTCAACAAGATCCAGCACCTGTTTATGATGAAAACCCTCTCCAAAATGGGTATACAGGGGAATTTCCTCAGTATACTTAAAGCCATCTACCACAAGCCTACAGCAAGCATCATCCTCAATGGAGAAAAACTGAGAGCCTTCCCTCTAAGATCAGGGATGAGACAAGGATGCCCACTCTCTCCACTGCTGTTCAATATAGTACTGGAAGTACTTGCAATAGCGATTAGGCAAGAAAAAGATATTAAGGGCATTCAGGTAGGAAAGGAAGAAATCAAGCTCTCACTATTCGCAGATGATATGATACTATACTTAGAGAACCCAATAACCTCCACCAAAAAACTCCTAGAAACAATAGACTCGTATAGTAAAGTTGCAGGCTATAAAATCAATACCCAAAAGTCCATGGCATTCCTATATGCAAACAGTGAGAGAGAAGAAAGCAACATGAAAGAAACAATCCCATTCACAATTGTGCCCCAGAAAATCAAGTACCTAGGAATCAGCTTAACTAAGGAAGTAAAGGACCTGTACAAAGAAAACTACAAAAAGCTACTTCAGGAAATAAAAGAGGACATGAGGAAATGGAAAAATATCCCCTGTACATGGATCAGGAGAATTAACATTGTCAAAATGGCAATACTTCCCAAAGCATTATACAAATTCAATAAAATCTCTATAAGGATACCCATGACATTCTTCAAAGAAATGGAGCAAACACTCCTGAAATTTATATGGAACAATAAGCCCCCACGAATAGCTAAAGCAATAGCTAAAGGGTTGAATACACTGACATCTCCCCTCAATCATCTAATCTTTGATAAATTTGATAAATCTAATCTTTGATAAAGGTGCAAGAAATGTGAAGTGGAGTAAGGAAAGCCTCTTTAACAAATGGTGCTGGCAAAACTGGACAGCTACATGCAAAAAAAAATGGGCTCAGAACTCTGCCTAACACCATGTACAAAAGTAAGATCAAAATGGATTAAAGACCTCAACATCAGACCGGAAACCATAAGATACATTGAAGACAAAGTTGGCAAAACCCTCCATGACGTTGAAGCTAATGGTATCTTCAAAGATGTCACGCCACTGGCCGAACAAGTGAAAACAGAGATAGATAAATGGGACTATCTTAAACTAAGAAGCTTCTGCACCTCCAAAGAAACAGTGACCAAAATACAAAGACAGTCTACAGAATGGGAAAGGATATTCACTGAAAACACATCTGACAAGGGATTGATATCAAGGATATATAAAGTACTGGTTGAACTTCACAAGAAGAAAACATCCAACCCCATCAAAAAATGGGGCGATGAAATGAACAGAAACTTTCTCAAAGAAGAAATCCGAATGGCAAAAAAGCACATGAGAAAATGCTCTACATCATTAATCATCAGGGAGATGCAGATCAAAACCACAATGAGATACCATCTCACACCTCAGAGACTGGCCCACATCCAAAAGAACAAAAGCAACCGATGCTGGCGCGGATGTGGCGAGAAAGGGACACTCCTTCACTGCTGGTGGGAATGCCGGCTGGTCCAACCCTTTTGGAAAACAGTATGGACGATTCTCAAAAAATTAGAATTTGATCTCCCATTTGACCCAGCATACCACTCCTGGGAATATATCCCAGAGAGGCAAAAAAGTATAGTCGAAGTGACATCTGCACTTGTTTGTTCATTGCAGCACTCTTTACAATAGTCAGAATCCGGAAAAAAACTGAGTGCCAAAGAACAAGATGACTGGTTAAAGAAACTTTGGTACATCTATACAATGGAGTACTATGTAGCTGTTAGAAAAGATGAAGTCATGAAATTTACATACAAGTGGTACTACATGGAAAGTATCATGCTAAGCAAAATGAGTCAGAAAGAGAGGGACAGACATTAAAAGATTGCATTCACCTGGGGAACATAAAGTAACAAAATCGGAGATTAATAACCAAGAATAGCCGAGATCAGTACCAGGAGGATTACTCCATGGCTTAGAGGCCAGCCGGGCATTCTAGGGGAAAGGGCAGCTCAGATAGAGAAGGGAGCACCCAGGAGGGGAGCTGTATGTTGAAAGTAGACTATGGACTGAACATGATTGCCACCCAATGCCTCCTTTTGCAGACCACAGCACCCAAAAGGAGAGAGAGAACAAAAGGGAATGCCCTGCCACAGAGGCAGGGTGGGATGGGGGGAGATGGGGGTGGGAGGGAGACTGGGACCCGTGGTGGTGGGAAATGGGCACTGGTGGAGGGATGGGTGTTTGATCATTGTATAATCGAAACCCAAGCACAAAAATTTGTAAATCTACAACTGTACCTCATGGTGTTTCACTAATAAATTTTTTTTTTTTAAAGTGGCCTTTATTGGGTTTCTCCAACCTGCTCCCACGTGGGCCTTCTACGCAGGTCAAAGTCCGTTGCTAGGGAGGTTACCAAGGGGGTTGGGAGTGGTGACGGTCTTCTTTGAAATTCCTCTCGGGACTTTTGTTCCCGGGACTTTCGTTCCCTCCCGGTTGGTCCAACCTCCTCAGTGCCTGTTACTGAGAGGTGCCAGTTCTCCCTGAGCTCAGGGCTCTGACATCCCAGGAGATTTACTGCCACTGCCTTGGGAGGGGACCTCCCTGTCTGCCTGCCTACGTCAGAAGCTTTGCGACGGGTCTGGGGGACTTCATTCGGCAGAAAATGTTCAGCGACGCCACAGCCAAACCTTCAGCGTGTCGTGACTCTGCCCTTGGAAGCACACGCGGTGAGCACTCCACACTCCTTTGGGCCACTGCCCCTGTGTCCAGCCCCGCTCTTTGCCCAGGGCAGACCTGCCAACTCCACCCATGTCCAGGGCAATGGCTCGATGCCCTTCCCACACGGTGGCTTTCATGCCTCGAGGGCCGGCGCAGTTTCTCGGATGTTCTCAAAGTGGAAACAGAGACCCGAGCCGCTGTATTTGCATGAGTCTTAATCTAGTGATCAGCGCGTGGCCCCCAGTTCATCCCCAGCGATGCAGTTCATCCCTAAGCTTCGGGCCCTGCTTCTATCCACACAGCACGGGCCACTCAGGGGGACCCGCAGAAAGGGGGTGCACCCAGGAAGTAGGAGAGAGACCCTGGGTGGCAGTGGCGTCAACACCTCCAGCTGGGCCTAACGGGGATGGGACGGAGCTTTGAGGGGCCCCAGGACGGCTGGTCCACGGACTCCTGAGCGCCCAAGGGGGCCCACAAACCGGGGTTGCAACCTAGGGGTCACCCCAGTTTTCAGGGGAAGCAGACCCCTGAGGGGGGCCCACACCTACTTACAAGCCACCACAGCCTTCTCGGTCCCCCGCCAGAGCTTCACACTCCAGAGCACCAGGGGTTCCCCCCAGAGGTCAGGCAAGACTCAACAGAGACACCCACAGTTTGACATTTGGGCTGCCCCAGCCTTTGGCTCTATTTAGATGTCAAGCCAGTAAAGGACCTTGAGCTTCTGGGAAGGGAAATGAGAGGAAAGGGCAGAGGAGAGGGGAGGGGGAGGGGAGGGGAAGCAGGAAGGGGAGAGAGGGGAGGGCAGGGGGAGAGGAGGAGGGGGCTCCCTTCAGTGCCAGCAGCAGCCAGATCCACGGGGGGTGGGGGGGGGGGGCTCCCCGAACCGCATGTCCACAGCTGGCGCTCCTGGGCAGCTCCTGTCTCTAGCCCCAAGCCCAAGGCCCGTTCCTTAGCGTTGGAGGACAGACGCCCCCCACACCGCTCCCCGACTCCCCCAGGGTGTGGGGCTCCCAGGGGCCCGAATCTGAGCAGAATCTTGCATTTCTGCGCATCTGAGTCAAAGCTGAAGTCCCAGACGCAGGCCAGGCCCAAGCGACACCCCACCTGCCCCGGGGAGCGTCCAGATTCTCTTTCCTTCCCATCAGCAGCTCACCTGGGGGGTGGGGGGGACACTTGCTTCATTCTCTGGCAGCTCAAAGGCACAAACCCAGAGGGCTGGGGGATGAGGAGACCAGGCCCTGGCCTCCGGAAGGGCAGGATGTTGCTCAGAGGATG